ATAAACATTAGTTCCACCAGCTAAAGCTATAAACTGGAAAGCTATGACCAGATTCTCATCTTCCTTAGTTTTCATAAAGGGTGAGCATAAACATTTCCTCTGTGGGCCTCAATCCCACTAAAGGCATTAATGCTCTGAGTAAAATCCCCTTCAATGTGTCTAAGCAGATTCCATTACTACAATGATTTTGTCCCCAAGGTAAAACAGCATGGATAAATTTTCACTACAGCAGTCACTCATTTAGTCATGTGGCTAAGGAGTATTACTTATCTCTGTACACAACGTTCTGAAACTAGATCCATGAGAAGAGTGACTTGAGACCTCTCTACCAATAGCATAATAGCAAAATCATCAGAGATTACACAGCAATTTTATGTAAAAGTAGAAGATTTTGAAATCATTATTTTCTACATCAAAAAGAAACAGATATGTCTTTCAGTATTTGAGTTTTTTAGACTAGAAGATGACTGCTGCAACCTCTGGCTCCCTATTTTGTTTATTAGTCATCTTTAGCGTAAGCAGGAAGATGGAGAACGTGATGTTATTAGCATTACACAGAACAGGGAGTCAAGTAGAATCAGATGAAAATTACAGACCTATCAATCAGTTGAATCTGCAGTACTCTGCTACTTCTAAGAATCAGGTCTTCTGACTTTCCTGAGAGTTCACCACACAAAAAAACTGTATGTTAAAGCATTACATTTCAGAAAAGTAAGAAAAAGATGTTTTCTCTAATTTTCACTGGTTTATAGTCGAGCATGAGTGATAACTTGCTATTGGTATCTGTTAATAATCACACTCTGGGCTTAGTATGGAATTCTAATAATGTAGCAAGAATCTCATATACAGTTGGGATAAAATATACATATATATATTATTTATATAAATAAATATAAATAACCAAAAAAGGGACTGCACTTTTATGAGAGCTTGTCTTTTACATACTGAGAGTGGCATGATGCCATAGAGAATATCACAAGCAGGCATACTTCTCGAACCACATCTGTGAGAGCTGTGAAGTGCATGGATCCTGCCTTGGCAAGGAGAGGTAAAAGTCTCTGTTTCATCTGCAGTCGAACTGTGGAGATGGCTGGTGTGCGGGAAGGTGAGGACCTGATACAATAATGCCCAAGTGTAACGACGATACAGAAGTTTCTTTGCCAAACTAACTCCAATTAGGACAGAGGCAGTACCAACAGGTTTGCCTCAGATCTCAAAAGATCAAGATCTCAAGAGCAGGGAACTGTAGAGCCTGTGAAGTCTTCAGGAGTGTTCATGAGAAAGGTGAAATTATCCTTCTCAAGGCTTAAGCTGCCAGATCTAGAAACTTGTTCTCATCACAGCTTGCTTGGGAGCAGTTCAGACCATGATGTGACTAATGGAACACCTGACTTACTCCGGAGCAAGTCATTCAGCAAGCATGGGTCTAAACCTAGGCTCTTAGCAACAGAATGTAAAACAATTGCATATAGCTTAAGACAAATCTTTCTAAAAGCAGTAAGTCTTTCTAAAAAGAAGCCAGAGGTACTGGGGCCAGGAGCCAAACATCAATCTCAAATATGCAAGGGAGAGAAATGACCAAAAAGTTAAATAACAACGGCTACTGAAAGAAATTGTGAGTAGAAAAAGTTCCTACAAAATCTAGGCCATCAAGCAAAACACATAAATACATATATAAGATCCTTCTCATGCTCTGTCATGTATTTATTAATCTCCTTATTGGAAAGAACTTCTTGAGGCCTTTATCTTTCTATGGAAGTATTTACTTATCATGAAAAACACTGCAATAGAACATTCATAGCAACAGTTTATATGAATGCAACAGCAATGTAACAGTCACTTCAAGAAATCCTTGAAACATTTAGGTATCTCATTAAATAATTGAGTAAAAGAGACAATGTAATAGAACGTCTGTCATTCAAGTCATTTTTGCAAAGTGACTCAAAAACTGTAGGGGTTTGGATTTAGGTTTTTTTTTTGTTTTTTTTGTTTCCGGTTTTGGTTGTGGTTTTTTTCCATAAAAATGACTGTTTTCAGAATATGACCAATTTAAATGTGATTTGTCCTTTAGTATGGTGCACCTGGAGAACTTTCAATGCACTGTGAAATAGCTGATATACCAAATATTACCAGAAAAAACATTAAGACATAAAGTTCTATGGGCAAGTTTTCCACATCTTATTCTTATTAAACAATGCTTACACTCAGAATTCTGTCAATTGAGAATCCTTCCTTCTTCAGTCCCTTCCTTGGGTATGTCCATTTATAAAATAACTCTGCAGGAAAGAGTCATAATAAAAATTATCACAAATTATTCAAGAATTATGTGCCGCAGAAGTAATGCTGATTCCAGCTGTCAGTAATTGAACAACTCCTCCCAGCCATTTCTGAGACAAAAGATAGGAGAAATTCCATCTCTGCTTCTCATACAAATCTTTGAGACAATGGACTGTGGAGTCTGATTTTAGTTCAGTCTCTCATACCACCCTGTGTCTCAAAGATTGTTCTGGATCCAGGGGGTTTTAGAAAAGAGATAGTGCAAAAGAGGCCAAGAAATGGAAAGAGCAGTGGTTTAAACTATTTTTACAACTGTTTCTGTGGACATATTAATCTGATTTGTTTAGTTCCGTCAGGAGAGGTGGTGGTTACAAATTGCATGCTTGTAACAACACTCCAAATTAATTGAATGAGACAAGGAATACAAGGTAAAAATAAAAACATAGCAAAGCTACACAACAAAGAAAATAATGTTTAACTCATGGCTTCCACAGCTAGCAGGTAGTCAAGAACCACGCAATGTTGAAACACTACCTTCCACATTTGCCTGGCGTGATCTGCTAACAGGTCAAGGGCATGGGCTGTTTCATTGGTAATGATTTCTAGGATTGCTTGTAACCAAATAATGCAATTTAAGCTATAAATAGGTTCTCAAGCACCACTGACCAATTTGTTAGGGTTCCAGGTAGCCAGTCTGTAATGTTTTATAATTTGTTATAGTACTTTATCAAAAGCCTCCCAAGTGACTGAACCACTCAGGTTGTTTACAAATATTCACTAGATTTCCTGGAATTACAATGTTTGCATTTTAATCACACATGTGCTTTCTTGCTGGCTGGTGGTCTTGAGAGGTGGTCATCATAGTCTTCCTCACTGTGTACTGATTAATATCTGTGATTGTTCAAAAGACTCTTGTGAACAACTATGTCCACAGTTTAGGTCAGTTTGTTCTGATTTGTTCATTACCTTGAAGAACCAGTCCCATGTTGCTCTGGACAGAGTGGTCCCAATTTACAGCTTACAATTAACAGTGTCATAAACGAGTGAGCCACTCTCGTTTCAAAACATAGATTTTATTGAATTGAGCAAGCGGTAGCAGATAAAAACCAGCGCTGGGTACCCCGCGCAGTCCCCGCTCCACGCCAGACGCACACCGGGCCCCTGGGAGGCTGTCCTCCATACCTCTCGAGTTTGGCTTCAGCCAATCCCGTTCTCCCTTTTGCCCAGATATTTTGGCTTCAGCCAATCCCGTTATCTGTTCTGCCCAGATATTGACGTGGCTCCTTTCCATTGGTTCCTTTTTGTTGCTGGGGTTTCATCATCGAGAAGCTTCGAGAAGTTTCGAGGGGTCTCTCTCATTAGGCTGACCGCTCCCTCACCTCCATTCCCTGGGTGGTTATCTGTTCAACGTTCTGCAACAAGATACCGAGTCGAACCACCCAGCCCCCCTTCCTTTTCCTTCTCTAGAAGCGTTTCTCCTACTTTAATAAAGCATGCTTTTCATAATAGTACAATTGACTTTCCCTTTCCCTTCACAAAGAAAAAAAAATGTTTCACAAAACGACAGTTACAAAGAGTTTCTTAAAGTATAACAAGCAACACTACCCCTTAAACCTTTTGATGAACAAACCTCACTTATCACAGTGAGTGGTTTTAATTTACAATTTAGCATTTCAGCTTATAATTCCCCATTTAAGGCTTATAGGATACACATATATCCTGTAAGCTTCATCTTGTATTTTCCCGTATTTAATTCTGAAACAGCATTGTGAACAGCAACATTGAATCATGCCTGCTAAGGTACAAATTATTATAATTATTACCAAAAAAAATATTTAACCATGTCCAATTGGTAGCCAAGAGGTAAATTTGTACCATAACTCTTCAAAACCCATGAGGCATCATCTCTAGTGACTTGGTGCAAGATTTGTCTGTTCCCGAATTTCAGCCAAATCTGTAGATATTTTGCTGCTCTGATCCATATATGTGCAGCAGCTTTTATTTATAGTTGTACAAATGCCTCCTTGGGAAGCTAATAGCAAGTCAATGGCCATACAGTTTTGCAGTGTCACGTGGGAAAGGCTGGATACCTCAATTTGTAATGTCTGTTTAGCATCTATAATTTCACTTTCAGTATTTTTAATTACTGCAGATACATTTACAATCATCTTTTCTAATTCACTCACTCCCAACCAAGGGAGAAACCATCGAACAAAATTGTGAAATCTTGTGGGACAATTGGCAATAGCATTATGAGTTGAGCTCTCTATGAGGTCATACAAAACATACAAAGCAAGTGAAAAATGTGGCACCACATCAGGTCCCACAAAACAAGTAATTTGCCTTAATCGTTTTCAGTGAGCTGTCAAATACATTCACTCTCCACCCCTTTGCTCTCAATCAAGGGGCAGGGGAGTTAGTTTTCCACCCTGTGAGTGAGAAGGTGTAGATTCTGGTAAATCTATAAGCGGTGGGGCACGAAGGCCTTCCACATTTTGTGGGTGATTTTCATTTTCTTTAGGGACCATGGGGTTTATTTTGGGCCACTCTAACACCACGTTTCCCAATTTTTCAGTGGATAGTCCATTCATTAAATCGTTAGGAATACCATTTTGCCACCCTGATATCCACAACCTTTGTCTTTTATTAGGAATATTTCTACCTTCTGGGCAAGTAGGGTGTGTCAGGCATTTCCCATTAGTTGGGCGAGGAGGGGTTTTTACCTCTGCCTTAGTCCTTTAATATCAATTTTACTAGAAATATTGATGGGACCGTACTTTCTCCCATAATTAATCAACTCCTGGGCAACTTCCCCCCACGTCAATACTTTGTTCTCTGCCTTTCGATCAGGCGATAGCAGTCCTTCCAGGGCAGCAACGGCCCTTTCACTTTGGGATGTTGCTTGTGTCTTTCCCTGCAATTGTATCCTCACGGCTTTCAGCGAGTCGGGAAGGCCCCAGAAGAGGGAAGTCATACGTTCGGGATCGACCGATATCATCATCGAGGACTCCTGTTTAAGTTCACGGTCGTACATCATTTGCAGACATGCCGCTTTCTGTACATTTTCTACCAACTGGCCGACTGTCCCTGTGATGGCGAGGGTTAAGTCCTCCAGTCCTGTAAGCTGCTCTTTGAATTAAAGACCAGGGTGCGCGGTGATCACCTGTGGTTAAAAATAACCCTGTCCCCCAGTATCCCTCAGCTTCCTTCTCACTTAGTAAAATTTGATCTCCCCCTGACAGCGATACTCTCCAAACAAAACAACAACAACAACAACAACAACAACAAAACAAAAAACAAACAAAAAAAGAAACCAAGTTGGTTTCTTTTGGAGTAAGACCGAATCCGGTTTTAAGCACAGCTAATTCCGTAGCAGTATACGGAACCTCTTTGGTGGTAATTTGTGGGAATTAGTCCTCTCCGTCTTCGTAAGTATATTCAATTTTTATCAAGGGTCGGAGAGAAACTGGAACGTTTAATTTTTCTCACCTTAGTCTCGCCTCTTCCAGGTCACTGTGGGGGTATTGAATTATTTTCTCGGACCGTGGAGAGGCGCTTTTCTCTGCCAGGAGTTGCTCTTTCAGGGCTAATTGCAAGTAGTTAGCCTGATTTTTCTCTTTATCTAACTGTTCTTTTAAGTTAACTACCTGGTCCTGCGGGGGTCGGACCAGGTCTTGTAAAGTTTGTATAAAACTGAGATTCAGCTGTTTGTTGTTGTTCTCTAGCCTCTACTGCAGCAGCCAAGCTGACGCCCAGTATAGCACAGAGAATCGATTTACCCTTTCCGGGCCTTTTGCTGGACGCTTACTCGGTCTGCTACACTTTGCAAATTATGCCAATTTGTCTTTGCCCACTCTACCCCTAGCAGAGAGGGGCGAGCTCATGTTTCTCCAAAAGGCCATACAACACATCTCTGCCCCGAAGGGCAGCTTCACTGCTATTCATTTCTGAATGGGACAATCGTCTCAAGGAGGCAGCACGTTTTGCTTCAACAAAACCCACCCCTCAAGTTCCTTAGAGGCATACACGTAATACAAAGCAAGTGAAATGCAGCAACAGGTTGGGATAGTCGTCTCAGGGACGCAGCACGTCTGTTACAACAAAATCTACTCTTTACGTCCCTGAGAGGCATGCACGTAATACCCTACACTTTACGTGACATTACGGTACTTTTCACTGCACGGGATCCTGACCGTGATGCCAATTTAATGTTACGGTCCAACTGGAGAAAACCCCTGTGCTGGACCCTGCTTCGTTCGTGATCCCAAGAGTGAAATTAAGACGCAAACGAGGTCAAGTACCGTAATCGATCAGTTGGTTTATTACAAAAAGACAATTATTATAAAAAAGGGAAGTTATTGTAATAAAGGGGATAGCGATAGGACAGATTGCAAAAAGAATGGAAATAAAGCAAGGATTCGGGGTGCAGGGAAGAAAGAGTCACCGCTGTGGATCCAGCGGTGTCCCGGGGATCTGTCGGCGGCGGCGTAGGTGGTGGGTGTCCCTCAGGGTTCCTAGTCGGTATAGGAACAGTGTCCCCCAAGAGTCTATAGTAGTCATCGGAGGTGGGTGTCCTCGTGGAGGTGTCCTTCTGGAGTCGTCCCCTTGAAGGTACCCTTGGAGGTGTCCTGATGGAGTTGTCCTCCTGGCAATGTCTCATGGACGGTGTCCCTCAGAGACCGTAGTAGTCATCGGTGGAGAGTGTCCTCACGGAGTTGTCCTTCCTGGCGATTACCTTTTCCCCCTTTTATAATGAGCTGGAGGGAATACCTCAGTTCTTAATGTTACGTTTTACACGTTCCTGGTGGACCAGTTTCGCTGGACCAGTCAGCTCTTCAACTGCACATGTCTGCAGCAATTCTTGGGTTAATGGGCAGCAATACCTCACACTGATCCTCGCGATAACGGATGGAAGAGTCTTACCTCAGCTCTTTCCCACTCAACCCTCAGGCAATGGAAGGTGGAGTCCCAGTTCAGCTCCTCACACCCTTCTCCTAAGCAATGGACATCAGAGTCTTATCTCAACTCCTCCCACCCATCTCTGAGATAAAAGATAGGTGGAATTCCATCTCAGTTTCTCATACCAATCTTTGAGACAATGGACAGTGGAGTCTGATTTCAGATCAGTCTCTCACACCAGCCTGTGCTACTTCAGCTTTATGCCTATTCATCATTACATTACCTCACTTCCATACTGTGGGAATTCTACTGATTTCAAAGCAGTGGTTTCAAAAATCTGCAATAACACACCAGTGAAACAGACTGACACCGTGTCACGTCATAACCTGGGAAAACGTAAACGACATGCTGACACTATAATGATTGGCATTTTACTGGTCATGGACAGTGTCCACAACAACTAAAATGAACAAATAAATGCTAGGAAAAATGAAGAGAAGGCAAAGATGGTCAAACATGGAGGCATTTCCTATGAGAGAGCTTAAGTAGCTGTCTGTATCTCCAGCAGCAGTCTCAAGTTTATCAAGTCCTACAAGCACTGGTTTTTCTAGAAATAAGTCAGGGAAGACTATATGAAACACCTTCTTAAAGTCTTACTGCACATTCCTTAGTGGTTACAGAGACTGAGATAGGTGAACCTTGCTTCATATGCATTTCTTGGCAGCTTGCTAACACTGAATATACAAGCAGGGAGCACAGGGAACAGGGCTGGCTGGAAGTGGCTTACCATTTGTCAGAGAATGATACAGCAGGATTTACATGATAATTACAAGCAGAAGGACCTGATGCTAAGCACAGAAGCTCAGAGATGGATCGAAGGTTCAGGAAAGAAGGGACTTCTCTTTCCACTAAATAAATGGATTAAAAGACAGTAAGGGCATTTCAAACAGTGAAGAATTTTAGCCACATGGTGCCACCCACCAATGAGTTAATGCCCAATATGCGAAACTCCCCAAGTTCTTAATAAATCAATGGGGATTTTGCATAGAAGTTAAGGACAGAACATACTGGGTTTAAAATTAAATATCAAACCAGTACTTATCTTCAAAGTGCTTTTCAAATATTTAAGATTTGTTTTGAAAATAGGAAAGCAAAAAGCTGATTGTTCTCTATGTGATATTTACAATAAGCGATAAAGCGGCAGCAACATTATGGACACACTGGAGATGGCTGCTATTAAAAAAAAAGGAAATTCAAAAATTTTGTTTTAACCTTTCTGTAGGATTATTTTTTCAGGGTTAGCAAGATTCTTAGTGACTGAAATATCAGTGGGAGGGAGAGGGGGAAGTTGCTATGATTGTGAATGACTAGGATTCTTTTTAAAAATGCTGTCATCTGTGTTAATAAAATGTACATATTTTTAATTTGCTTAGAAACTCTGAGAATGGCATTCATGCACATGTGTTCCATGACCATAGCTCTGTAAGGTATAAAAAAGCTTGCAAAATACTGACCACCAGGGCTATGCAAATATCCAAATGTGCATTAGCTCTTGATATTAATTTTAAGTTAGATGCCTAACATCAAATTCCTCAGCACATTCCCACCAGATTTCATATGAGGCCTGCCTGTGATGAAGTTGCAGAATCACATCCTTTACTTTTCAAATTTAGTAAAACAAACAAACAAAAATCCTAAATTCTGATTTTGCAAAGAATTAGGTATGAATAATATTATGTACCTGTAACTCCATTCATCTTAACCTTTGAGACTTCTCCCACTGCAAAATTAGTCTGTATGTATTTCTAAGGGGAAAAAAAAAATAATGAAAACCACCACCAAAGAAGCCCTAGATATTATCTTATGAATGTTTCTCATTGAAATGCACAATTTGTTCAGGTTGACTTTACTTTGAATCTGGTTTTGTTCTCGGTTTTACTGTGTCTTAAAGGCTATAAGGCTGTAAAATAGTGAAATAGCTGCAATCACAATTTTCCTTGTTTGATCTCATCCATGGAGATTTCAAAACTCAAGCCAACACTATTCAAAAGTAAACTAGCCGAGAATCTCAATACGGGCTCTCCAGCTCCATCTTCTGGTACAAAACTAACTAAGAGAGTCTGGTACTTCAACGGCTAATTTTACCAGCCAGAAATGTATTGAATATACCAAAGGAATTCCAGCAAAAATGAGTTTATCGTTCATAATGTGTGACAAGATCTGGATTGGTAGTTGTTTTACTGACAGGCAGTAATTTTCTCTGCACAATTCTCACATACTTTCCCTATTTCTTCTAATCCCTAATATATAATGTAATTAGTCTCAAAGATGCTTCAATCTACAGAGGCTAGATAAAATTCATCTTGGGATTATATTCAAGATTGAAACAGTGTCAAAATTAATCTTAAAATCTTCTGGGACTCACTTATTCCAGATGTCATCTAACATACGCACAGCATTTGCACAAGTCATTCGGGCCTGTACCAGGATAATAGAACCAGCTCAAAACCTAATCCTTGACTCCTTAGAATTTAACATTTTCCAAGATTTCTAAGGCTTTAGCCATAACTCACATTACACTGAACACTAAGAACAAACCTGTGGAAATGTTATTCTTGCTTTCTCTGGTAAACTACATCTGTAGGTATTGAATATTCTGAACTACTCCAGTGCTAAAACAATTCAGTGTTAAGCCAAAATCAAACTACAACATTGAAAAAAGGCTAATCATTTTGCCAAAGCTGGTTCAAAAGCACCTTCTTAAAGCAACATGTTTCTTATGCTTTCTTTAAGATTAGAAAGCTTTTAAAGCTGCTGCTGTTCTCACTATTACTGTTTGAAGACCTTGAGCTCAAAAAACCCCACAAAGTAGAGATATTTCCCTCGATGCAAAAACAGTTCCACAGTGTGTGACTTTCTGACACAAAACTAAAGGAGAAATTAATCCCCAGATTTCTCAGAACTTGGAATATTTCAAGTCCTTAAATACTGCAATCTTGAAAGTTAACTCAGAAATTCAGGCTGTTGTTAACAGTTTTACTTATTTGTGGTTTAAAATTATTCATAATAGGCACCAGCATTGCAATTTCCCATGATTACTGCTACTGCCAATTTCATTTTAGCAAATTGGTTATACTGTCAAAGCACTGAACTGTGTTGAGTTACACGATCATTTGGTTGAGAGCCCTCCAAGATGTACAAAATGCCACAGCAAGAGGCATTTGGAAAATTCTGTAAAGACATACATCCCCTGTTCTGCAAGAAAATGAAAAATGCAAAATATTTGGCCTGATCACCTATGCTCATTAAATACCACATGCTTTTTATGTGTGAATGGGTAGCCTTGACTGAGAGAGATTATTAAACCAAATTCATCCTACCATTTAAATTCTTATTTTCGTGCCCAAATTATTATGCTGTCTACTCAAACGCTGCCAGACTGTAAGAGAAGATGGAAGTGGCTCTCTTACCTGCCTCACTAAAATTAGTTGTGTTTTGTGGCTCCTGGGTAAGAACATTACCAAAGACCACAAAGAAGAGTTATTTCTAGGTTTACCCAGGAAGGCAACCTAGATTTTCTGTAATAGAGAAGACAGAGCTCTGTAATTTTAAAATGGTATTTGAAGGGGGAGAAGAAAGACGAGAGCTGAGAAAAGTTTCTATTTCAATGTAGCTTATAGATGAGATAAAAAGGCATTCACCTAGGCTGTCACTACTAACATTTGAGTCTGTCTACTATCAAATTCAAATCTGATTCTCAGTCATCCAGTTGTAGCAGGTTGTCCTGGCAAGCAGGTTACTAGCTACTCTGCAGCAAGCTTCTGCTTCTGAATTCTCTAATCCTTTCTAGAAGGAATATATGAAATTTTCAAAGGTGTCTCAAGTGTAAGACAAGTAAGTAAAATGTGTGTCATCTCCCATTGCCTTCACATTACAGAAAAATATGATTTTGTAATGATGGATTCTTATTGTGTTGCAATGGAAAGGCTATCACAATAAACCATTTTCAATCAAAAAAAATGACACCAAGGAAAATATATGGAGAATAATAATAAAAACACAGTGAAAGGTGTAGCGGATCCTTTGACAGATACTATAAGGAGGATGCTTTTTTAAAATTGTCCTATAGCATCTACATTAGAGTAACACCAAATTTGAGGGGTTTAACTCCTAGACACTCTAATTACTACCTGCCTTCCTCTACTTTACTGAACATTTAAGTGTTTACATAAAATGGAATTGTTTCAACAGGAAAGACTTACGTGATGAGGGACATCGGAGTAGGCTGAATATATACAGAACTTCAGCTTGAATCTGCCATAGCCAAAAAATTCTATTGATACCTGGATTGTATTACCATATCATACTAGCTGTGTAGCTGAATTATTCAGTTATCTACATCAGAAATGATAGACTGTGTCTTTCTGGCATTTTTCAATTAAAAACTGGAAAATTCCCTATTTGCTACAGGTTAACTTTCCATCCTAATTATGATCAATTACGCACAAATCCTTCTTCCAGCAGGAAGCTCACCTTAATCTGAAGTCCATGCTGCTCCAAGAGGGAATCAGATTCTCCATAAAGGGCTGGAAAGCCCTAAAGCATTGGTTTTGGCTGAAGAAAAGCCCTTCCAATGTGTAAATGAGACAGCTGCAGAACAACCTTCCTATAGGAAGAAGAAGACCAGAAGAAACAGCAGTTATACTGAATGAAATATTCTGCTATAGAGATTGTAAGCAGCTAAGACTAACTGCCATTTCA